TTCCTTTTTAATCATTTTGTGTACATGTCTACTACTGATATTTGATTTGCGATTTGTATTGCCCTGACTTCTGTTGTTTTTCAGACGTAGTTAATTATGGAAGTTAGTTACCTTATCCATAATAATCAATGCAGAGGCCAATACTGTATATATAACAATTATTTTACTATGATATATATTCTTAATAGTCTTATCTATAAAACTGGCCCTTTGAGGCAACCTTGGATGCTAATGTGGTACCGAGTTGAAATTGTTTGACACCCTGCCATAGACACTTCATAGTCTAGAACAACACCATTTCAGAACAATATTTCAAATGAAATGCTTGCAGAATAAAATAACCCTGTTGTGTTTCAAAATGGGTCTTAATCACTTATTCTGGTATGCTCTTGCAAGTTGTTTGACTTCGACACGGGGTGGCAGGCGCTGCTGGGATGGTGTTGGTGGGGAAGACGGTGGAGCAGTCCCTGGGGAGGTGATGGGAGGAGGAGGAGCTGCCGGTCTGAGGGCACAGCAGAGGGCTCAGAGAGCTGAGGAGACCAACGAGCTGGAGGAGGTGCTGCGCTCAAGGAGCAGAGAGGGCGCGCAGTTAAGAGAAGGTATGGCAATGGAAATTCTACTTTTTAAATCATTTAAATAAGGAGGAAGTCTATCCAAAGCTTGAATATCAGGAGAACAGACTCAAGTCCGGAACATTCGATCGCTTCTCCGTTTCATTTAAACTAGCATCATGTGCTAACAGCGAGTCCAGCTTCACAAGGGATTCTACATTAATCTCCCAAAATCTATTCTGGGGTGTGTTGCAGAAAGTTAATATCCGGGTGCACAATCCTATTTGCCGAATCAGACTTTCCTGTTTGGTAATGTCGCCATGGGACAGCTGTCAGTCAAATCTGATCAAACCATAAACCTTACAGCCAGTGGAAGCAAACTAATACTTTTTTTTTTCTTCTGTTAAACTGTTATTGTTTATAACTTTCCTAAAATCCAAATAAAATTATTAAAAACACAATTAGTTCAAAAACATACTTAGTTTAACTATTTTTTGGTGCTTTTACTCAGTAAGAAATGATAGTGTGATAATATAGAATATTATAATAATATAGGAGTGCCCTTTACGGACTGATTCGGAACATTTTTGGAGAAATGTAATCTATGAAGTTAATCGGTTTTTGAAACCTTGTCCCTCTCCTGTTTTGCTGTTTTGCTAAGCGCTCATTGCTGTTTTTTTGTGTGTGGCATTTTCCTAGAGAATAGAATAGAATATAATTCCTTTATTGTCATCGCACCAGGTACAACGAATTTAAAAAAGCCAATCGCTCTCAGTGGCATTTCACATAATACGAACAAATTATATATTCTATATAAAACATATACACACATAAACATATGCTCACACATCCATACCAACATGCATACATGCCCGCACATCATTTAAATGCAGTTTACAATATAAAAAACACATCAGTTAATAAGTTAATCAAACTATTAAAAAGTAGTGCAGTTGCAAGTTGTAACTGTTCAGTTCAGCGTTTGACGGTGTTCAGTTCTCGTATGGCTCTGGGGTAGAAACTGTTTTTCAGTCGGTTTGTCCTTGATTGAATTGACCTGTAGCGTCTACCGGAGGGCAGAAGAGCAAACAGGAAGTGTCCAGGGTGTGAAGAGTCTGCAATTATTTTTGCCTGCTCTGTTGAGGCAACGTTGGCTGAAGAGTTCCTCCAGAGAAGCAGTGAGCAGCCGATGACCTTCTGGGCTTCGTTGATGACCCTCCGAAGGGCTTTCCTTTCCTTTTCTGAGCAGCTGGCACACCACGTGGTTAGGCAATATGCCAGCACACTCTATGGAGCAGAACATTTCCACTTGTCAATCAATTAGTGTGTCCAAACTATAACTGAGTGTGTTTTTCTAATTTGAGTTTCTGTATGTTTTGGTGTCTTATTTGTCTGTGAGAAAATACGACCCAGTTATTTTAATTATTTCAAGCAAAGATCATGTTTCCATAGTTCCAGAAAACATCTGAGGCTGTGTGTTTTTTCTACCCAAAGGAAAATACATCAAAGGATTGGGACAGCAGATGAAGGAGCTAGGATAGACGTTGACATATTATTTGTGCTTGTTTTTCCGTCTGGCCTCAGGAGCGGAGAGTTGCCCAGCAGAAGGAGGTGCTGAGGAAAGAGAGAGAGGTTGCAGAGAAGATTGCAGCGCGGGCGTACACCCAGCAGTACCTGGCTGACCTCCTCCCCGCTGTCTTCACCTCGCTGAGAAGCCACGGCTACTTTTATGACCCCGTGGAGAAAGGTCCGTCTTTCTTCTCCATCACCTGCTTCCATTAAAACCAACCATTCTACCTTTTTGACACATGAGGGCACCAGCGCACCACCCTGCACACAGCAGCATCTGTTCAAACCTGCAGGCTGATCTGTGACCAGCAGCAGATGAGATCACTGTGATGATTTAATCTTTTACCATATTTGTGCTTGATTTTCTAGATATTGAAACTAATTTCTTCCCCTGGCTGATGGCTGAGGTGAACAACAGTTTGGAGAAGAGATACACGGCAAGAGCGCTGCTGGACAGTAAGGACATATCAACAAATCTAATCAAAATCTATTATAGCCCCAAATCACCAAAAATGCCTCAAAGGGCTGTACAAAGCAAACAAAAGCAAAGACAAAAACAACAATACACTATCTATTTTTCCTGTTGAGCACAAGACTTCCCTCTGCTCTAGTTTTCAAACCTGCTGTCTCAATGTTTCATGCCTATTTTAGGATGTTTGAATTTTCCAGGTTTCATTTTTGATGGCTAAATTATTGCTTACATTTTCTTTTTCGAATATTTATTACATTCTTCATGTAAAAGCTTCCATGATTTATTTTGAGTTTTTTTCATTTATTTGCAATAATGTTGATGTTTGAACTATTGGTTGGATAAATGAACATTATAAAGGTGTCACTTTGGACACTGGTGAACTGTTATGGTATTTCTCACTATTTCACATTTCTTTACGAATTTAACAGATGATGTATTAATGTTCACAGGTTCTCCTCCAGGGGTCACCTGTGCATATTCACTGTTGCAGCGCCATCTAGTGGCTGTTATTAAACATTACAGGTAATTCGTGTCAAACATATTTCCACAGAAATGACTTCATCCTGCCTGTCTCTCTCTCTCT